AATGGACTCAGCAGGGTCCCAAGAAAAAAAAGCCAGGATGGTGTGATACCGTTTAAAATAAAAATTTATTGGTCCAAAAGAAAGACAAGGACTGCATAAATAAAACTGACCATAAAGGTGTACAAAGATGGCCGCCGCTCCATGCGGTGGCGTAATGTCTGGGATATGCTGCTCTTACCCTGACGCGTTTCGTGCCATGTGCACGTATTCATAGGGAGTGTGTCAGCTAACCAGACATCTACTCCAAACCCCGTATAAAATAGTGTCTAGGCAATCGTATAAGCGCGTCCGCCATTTTCCCGGCGTCCTCGCGCATGCGCAGAACAGACATCGCTACGATGTCCGCATCTCAGTCCAGCGCCATTTTGTTGTGGTCTTAATTACCAACAACTACGATGCCAGATACAAGCACGGCTATGTAGTGAATATATTATCGTTCATCATAATCCTTAACAGCTGTTAGCCAAAAAAAAACAATACATACAGGGCTGGAAACAACACACAGAAAATATAGTGAAGACACCTAACAGATGTAATGTAAACGCATGTATATAGATGAATCAACATCGATATACCCTAAATGTTAAAGCATATATGTTAATATAATTCTAAGGTGTCTTCAGTATAAATATACAATAAATGCAGTTACATAAAATACAAAACGTATACAGATGTGGTGTTAAAAATAAACATATATAGGAATAAACAATGTCCCTATAGACAAAATAGCATAATCAAGTGTATACTCATAATGACCAAGAACCACAACATGGTAAAACACATAATGCATAATAAAACAGTTAATATATAAAAAAACATTAAATACAAGGCTGCATTGTATCCATGGTTAATAATATGTTATAAATTAATAATAATAAAATTGTGAAAGTATCAAGCGTTAAATTATGTAAAATCACACAAATAACAATACAAAATAGTGAGCCCATCAGATGATAATAATAAAAAATTAAATTGTATAAATTGATAGCACATGTAAACCACCAACCAAAATCAGCTATTATCAATAAAACTGTTAATATCAAACTCAACATTATGCCCTTTGGGATAAAAAGTGTCCAATTCATAGATCCACTTGGATTCTTTTTGCGAGACTGTCCTCTTTCTATTAGTTCCCCTCCAATGAGTCTTAACCATATCTATACCAGCAAAAGTCAGTGAAGTGGGGTCATTATTATGGAATAAACGATAATGTTTTGATAAGCAATGTTCCTTGTTCCCCTTCTTAATATTACTGACATGCTCTCTCAAACGGTCTTTTAGTTTCCTCGTAGTTCTCCCAATATATTGTTTTCTACACGGGCATTGCAATAAGTAGACTACAAACCTACTATTGCATGTGATGAAGCCATCAATATTGTAGCTTCTTCCTGTAACTGATGAATTGAAAGTGTCAGTACTCTTTTTTCTAATTCCATTACATCTACAAATAATGCACTTGTTACAGGGAAAAAATCCTTTAAAGTCCTGAGAAAAAGGATAAACTAGTGGGGGGATTGACAACATTCAGGGCTAACTTGTCCCGCAATGTTGGTGCCTTTCTGAATGTTATTTCAGGCTTGTCAGGCAGAAAGTCTGTTAAAACAGGGTCGGCTTTTAATATTTTCCAGTTTGCCTTAATTATTTTAGAGACAGCCTTATGTTGGATGGAAAAGCCAGTTATAAATGGGCATACTTTCTGTTGTCTCTGCTTATTAACTCCATATAAAATAGAGTCTCTCTCCAAGTTGGTAACTTCCTTAATAGTGTTGACCAGTTTGTTCTCATTATAACCCTTTTCTAAAAAACGTTCCTTGAGGATGGAAGCTTGATGAAGAAACGTATTTTGATCAGTACAGTTTCTCCTAATCCTCAGGAACTGGCTTTTAGGTATATTGCTCAACCACAATGGATGGTGGCAACTATCGAGGGGGATGTAGCTATTTCTGTCAGTAACCTTGAAAAAGGTTTCCGTGACAATCCTCCCTTCATAATTAAACAAAGTTAAATCCAAAAAATGGATGCTTACTGTGCTATACTCAAAGGTGAGCTTAATGTTAAGTGTGTTAAGATTCAAAGTATCAAAAAAATTCAATAACGCTTGTTCCTCACCGTTCCAAATTAAAAATATATATACCAAGAACTACTTTTGGTTTAATAACCGGTTTTATTTACAGACTAAGGGGGTTGCAATGGGAGCGAAGTTTGCTCCCAGCCTGGCCAATCTCTTCATGTCTAGGTGGGAGGAAGACATGATATATGGAAGAGATTGGCCAGAGCTTTTATTTTATAGACGATATATCGATGATATATTTTTAATTTGGAACGGTGAGGAACAAGCGTTATTGAATTTTTTTGATACTTTGAATCTTAACACACTTAACATTAAGCTCACCTTTGAGTATAGCACAGTAAGCATCCATTTTTTGGATTTAACTTTGTTTAATTATGAAGGGAGGATTGTCACGGAAACCTTTTTCAAGGTTACTGACAGAAATAGCTACATCCCCCTCGATAGTTGCCACCATCCAATGTGGTTGAGCAATATACCTAAAAGCCAGTTCCTGAGGATTAGGAGAAACTGTACTGATCAAAATACGTTTCTTCATCAAGCTTCCATCCTCAAGGAACGTTTTTTAGAAAAGGGTTATAATGAGAACAAACTGGTCAACACTATTAAGGAAGTTACCAACTTGGAGAGAGACTCTATTTTATATGGAGTTAATAAGCAGAGACAACAGAAAGTATGCCCATTTATAACTGGCTTTTCCATCCAACATAAGGCTGTCTCTAAAATAATTAAGGCAAACTGGAAAATATTAAAAGCCGACCCTGTTTTAACAGACTTTCTGCCTGACAAGCCTGAAATAACATTCAGAAAGGCACCAACATTGCGGGACAAGTTAGCCCCGAATGTTGTCAATCCCCCCACTAGTTTATCCTTTTTCTCAGGACTTAAAGGATTTTTTCCCTGTAACAAGTGCATTATTTGTAGATGTAATGGAATTAGAAAAAAAAGTACTGACACTTTCAATTCATCAGTTACAGGAAGAAGCTACAATATTGATGGCTTCATCACATGCAATAGTAGGTTTGTAGTCTACTTATTGCAATGCCCGTGTAGAAAACAATATATTGGGAGAACTACGAGGAAACTAAAAGACCGTTTGAGAGAGCATGTCAGTAATATTAAGAAGGGGAACAAGGAACATTGCTTGTCAAAACATTATCGTTTATTCCATAATAATGACCCCACTTCACTGACTTTTGCTGGTATAGATATGGTTAGACTCATTGGAGGGGAACTAATAGAAAGAGGACAGTCTCGCAAAAAAGAATCCAAGTGGATCTATGAATTGGACACTTTTTATCCCAAAGGGCATAATGTTGAGTTTGATATTAACAGTTTTATTGATAATAGCTGATTTTGGTTGGTGGTTTACATGTGCTATCAATTTATACAATTTAATTTTTTATTATTATCATCTGATGGGCTCACTATTTTGTATTGTTATTTGTGTGATTTTACATAATTAACGCTTGATACTTTCACAATTTTATTATTATTAATTTATAACATATTATTAACCATGGATACAATGCAGCCTTGTATTTATTGGTTTTTTATATATTAACTGTTTTTATTATGCATTATGTGTTTTACCATGTTGTGGTTCTTGGTCATTATGAGTATACACTTGATTATGCTATTTTGTCTATAGGGACATTGTTTATTCCTATATATGTTTATTTTTAACACCACATCTGTATACGTTTTGTATTTTATGTAACTGCATTTATTGTATATTTATACTGAAGACACCTTAGAATTATATTAACATATATGCTTTAACATTTAGGGTATATCGATGTTGATTCATCTATATACATGCGTTTACATTACATCTGTTAGGTGTCTTCACTATATTTTCTGTGTGTGGTTTCCAGCCCTGTATGTATTGTTTTTTTTGGCTAACAGCTGTTAAGGATTATGATGAACGATAATATATTCACTACATAGCCGTGCTTGTATCTGGCATCGTAGTTGTTGGTAATTAAGACCACAACAAAATGGCGCTGGACTGAGATGCGGACATCGAAGCGATGTCTGTTCTGCGCGCAATGCGCGAGGACGCGGGGGAAAATGGCGGACGCGCTTATACGATTGCCTAGACACTATTTATACGGGGTTTGGAGTAGATGTCTGGTTAGCTGACACACTCCTATGAATACGTGCACATGGCACGAAACGCGTCAGGGTAAGAGCAGCATATCCCAGACATTACGCCACCGCATGGAGCGGCGGCCATCTTTGTACACCTTTATGGTCAGTTTTATTTATGCAGTCCTTGTCTTTCTTTTGGACCAATAAATTTTTATTTTAAACGGTATCACACCATCCTGGCTTTTTTTCTTGGGACCCTGCTGAGTCCATTACTTGCAGAGTCTCCTAGGGGACAGCTGAGGGGTGTTTTAGTGTGGTAACCACACGATCCATTAGAAGATACCTTGGACGGACTGCTGTACTTGGATGATGACCCTATCCATCTATGAGACAACTCCGTTTGGATATCGGGATACCATCTATATGCATATTTGAATTATGCATCTGGTGAGTGCATGATTCAATTACTCTGATCACCGGAAGACGCACGTTTTTCAGTCACCATTTATTGTCTAAAGGACTATTATTGCTTTTTTGCACAGTTTTTGGCACTTTGTTATCACTTTACATATATATTGTTTATAATTATACTGTACTTCAGCGCTGCGCCCCCCCTCTTCTTTTTTGTATGTCTTTTTGAGTCTTTTGGTACTTATTGGCGCATAGCAGCTTTTCCATCTAGCGCTCACTTTATCTCTATTTTTTGATTCTCTTTTGATCACTGAAAACAATCTCGGACACCTGTGATAATTAGATTGGGCGGTGAGCCCAATTTAAGGAAAAACTACTAAAAGGAGGGTGTTCCACATTATTAAGCAGAGCACCATTTTCAAGCAATATGGGGAAGAAAAAAGGATCTTTCTGCTGCCGAAAAGAGTGAAATAGTTCAATGCCTTGGACGAGGTATGAAAACATTAGATATATTTTACAAAAACTTAAGCGAGATCATCGCACTATTAAGAGATTTGTGGCTGATTCAGAGCACAGATGGGTTCATGCAGATAAAGGCACATTGAGGAAGATTTCTGCCAGATCCATGCATCGGATCAAGAGAGCAGCTGCTAAAATACCATTACATAGCAGCAAACAGATATTTGAAGCTGCTGGTGCCTCTGGATTTACATGGACATCAAGGTGTAGAGTCCTCCAGAGTCTTGTAACTGTGCATAAACCTTCTATTCGGCCACCAATAACCAATGCTCACAAGCAGAAACGGCTGCATTGGGCAGAAAAATACATGAAGACTAAGTTTCAAACAGTCCTGTTCACTGATGAGTGCCGTGCAACCCTGGATGGTCCAGATGGATAGAGTAGTGGATGGTTGGTGGACGGCCACCCTGTTCCAACAAGGCTGCAACATCAGCAAGGCGGTGGTGGAGTCATGTTTTGGGCCGGAATCATGGGAACAGAGCGGGTCGGCCCCTTTAGAGCCCCCGAAGGTGTAAAGATGACCTCTGCAAAGTATGTGAAGTTTATAACTGACCACTTTCTTCCCTGGTACAGAAGGAAGAACTATGCTTTCCGTAATAAAATCATCTTCATGCATGACAATGCACCATCTCATGCTGCAAAGAATACCTTTGCATCAATGGCTGTTATGGGGATAATAAAAAAAAAAAAAAAAAAAAAAAAAAAAAAAAAAAAAAAAAAAAAGTCATGGTGTGGCCTCCATCCTCCCCTGACCTCAATCCTATTGAGAACCGTTGGAGCATCCTCAAGCAAAAGATCTAGGAGGGTGGGAGGAAGTTTACATCCAAACAGCAGCTCTGGGAGGCTATTCTGACATCTTGCAAACAAATTCAAGCAGAAACTGTCCAAAAACTCACAAGTTCAATGGATGCAAGACTTGTGAAGCTGCTATCAAATAAAGGGTCCTATGTTAAAATGTAACGTGACCTGTTAAATGTTTAAAAAAGTTAAAAAGTTGTTAAAATGTTTGATTGAAATAGCTTTTGATTTCAGTAAATATGCTGCAAACACAACAAATGACAAAATTTTCAGTTCTTTACAACCTATAAAAGTGTTTTGAAACTTACTGTGCGTAATAATTTGGAACAGTGCATTGGAAGTTTTTTTATTTAAAAAAAAAAAAAAAAAAAAAAAAATACTGTCATCATTAGGTTTGTTCAATAAAATTTGAATTGTACTCTTAATAGTCGATAACATGAGAATTATGCTGACTGTTATTTACATCAGTTATTTAGGTAAATGAGAAAAAATATTTGCATAATAATTTGGAACACGGGTGTAGATGCATTTTCCCATATCTTTTTCCACTGCACCAAATCAATGTCACAGCTGAGAGATTGGGACCATTTGCGCATATAATGGTGGGTGTTATTGGATAAGGGGTAGGCATCCATAAGGAGCTTATAGGTAGTGGAGATTATGCCCCTTTGATGTGGGCCCTGTATACATAGACACTCAAAAGGAGTAGGCTTTTCAAGGCTCAAAGAGGGTGACAAGGTAGAAAAGGAAATGGCGTATCTGCAAACAGACATAAAAATGCTGGGAAGGAAGATGGGCTTTTTTCTGAACAGAGAAGGGTTTAAGTGCCCAATTCATCAGATGGATCAGATGGTGCAGTTGGAAGAGATCGGCTGAAACCAAAAAGGGAGCATACGGAGCATGGTCAGACTGTCTTGAAGGATGGGATTAAAAAGAACATTGGTCAAAGGAGAACAGTCAGAGGCCAGCGCAAATTTAACCTTGCATCTCTTTCAAATAGAGAATTGCATAGGTCCAAGCAAGAGGTGTCGATAAGAAGGGATATCCACCGCCGACGTAGACCAGAGAAAAGGAGCATGGGTGAATCGGGGTTAGTTGTAGGAATTTAATCACAGACTATATATTGGGAGGACGTCGAGTGGACCAGGAGAGTAGGAATCTGAAGTGGGTAGCATAATAGGTCACAATATCCGGTGCACCTAGGCCTCCCCTGGAACGCAAGGTGAGAAGTACAGTGTGTGCGATTCTAGGTTATGTCAGATGAAGCGTAAAAGGGATTTCTGAATGGAGAGTAGCTTAGACATAGGGCTGGGAACGGGAAGAGTTGTAAATAGATATAAGAGTTTGGGCAGTATGTTCATTTTTATCACGTTGATGCGGCCAAGGAAGGAGATGGGGGTAGGGTGTCCCAGAATTTTAGAGATTTGGAAATGGCAATGAATAAGGGAGGGAAGTTAGCCTCGTATATGGAGTGGTATCAAGAAGTGAGGTTGGTACCCAAATACTTTAAAAAGAGTGAGTACACCAACGATATGGGTAAAACGATTGGAGAAAGGACAATACGTCGGGTGGGACATGTAAAGGGAGTGCTTCAGTTTTGGATGCATTGACTTTATATCCCGACAGAGCCCCAAATAATTGTAAAGTTTTATGGAGAACCGGTAGGGAGGAAAGAGGGTTCGTTAATGTAAGGAGGATATAGTCTGCAAATAGGGACAATTTGTATTCATGCCCATGAGAATGTATCCCACGTATATCAGGGTTGGACCGAATGGCGATAGCCAGCAATTCCAGACAAAGGTTAAACAGTAGGGGGGAAGCTGGCAACCCTGCCGTGTACCGTTTTGACATTTGGAAGGAGGGTGAGAGGAACGAGGCTAATCTGACTGGTGAAGAATAAAGAACCTTAAAGGCAGCCACAAATGGACCCCGGCAGCCAAATTTTCTCCAAGACCATAAACATATAGGGCCAGCTAAGGCAATCAAAAGCTTTCCGAGTGTCCAAGCTCAGTAATATAGCAGGAGTTGAGGATCCGTTAACCAAATCAATCAAGTCAACGGACCTCCTGGTGTTGTCCGCGGCCTGTCTAGCTGGCACAAAGCCCTCCTGATGCCTATGTATGAGCTTGGAGATGAATCTGGACAACGGTTGGCCAAAATCTTAGTAAATATTTTATAGTCAGAATTTAATAGAGCAATGGGACGATAGTTAGCCAGGGTAGAATGGTCTTTATCAGGCTTGGGAATTACAGAAATATATGCCCGGGAAAATTCCGCCTGGGTGGGGGAAAAGACACCCTTTAAGAGATTCTGAAATAGGGAGAGAAGATGAGGAGCCAAAGTGCCTATAAAGGTTTTATAATAGAAATAGGGTAGTCTGTCAGGTCCTGGAGATTTGTGGGATGGGAGTTGTTTGATTGTCTTGAATAGTTCCTCGGATGAAATATCCGCATTAAGGGCTGAGAGGTCAGGGGGTGATAACGTTGGAAGGGATAGGGAGTCAAAAGACATCTTTTGCAAAAGGGGTGGGGGTGAAGTTCTGGGGTCAAACAGTTGTAAAGGTTCTTATAGTATGTTCCAAAGATTGAGGCCATTATGTGAGGGTCGTAGGTAGGGTCACCATCCAGTTGGAGTAGGTGATCTGGTATCATTGAGGGAGATTGTGCTTTGAGCCGATTTAAGAGCATGCGGTGTGGTTTGTTAGAGAATTTGTAAAGTTTCTGTTTGACCCAAAGAAGGGACTGAAGATTTATGCAAATCGAGGGCTTTGACCTGGTCACGGAGAGAGAAGTTACCCTACGAAGCCCAGTAATAGACGGCTTTGCAAGTAAAACGACGTTCAGCCGAAGATAGTTGGTAAATAAAGGGAATCCCTGGCGGCAGTAGAGGACTTTTTTTTTTTTTTTTTTTTTTAAACGAGAGCCCATAGAGATACAGAGTCCCGAAAAACAGCCTTATGAGCCTCCCATAGGGTCGAGAAAGAAACCACTGAGCCAAGATTTATGATGAAAGCACGTCCTTGAGAAATTTCCTTGTGGAGATGGGTCATAGTGAGGAAAGTTTCATTGAGGCGCCAGTGACAGGTTTTTTTGTAGGGAGTCAAGGAAAAGAAGATTCAGAGAAGCATGGTCAGACCACATGATAGAATTGATTTCAGAAGAAACCAAAAGAGGAAGTAAAAGGAGCGGAGACAAAAAAAGTGATCTAAGCAAGAGTAACTGCGATGAGGGGAGGATTTGAAAGTAAACGGTTTGTGTAGGGGATGTTTGACCCACCAAGCCTCAAATAGACGATGTTCCCTGATCAACTTATGAAAAGATCTTTAGGAGGAACATTGCCACTTTGAGGGGGTGGATTTAAAAAAAAAAAAAAAAAAAAAAAAAAAAAGGGGGACCTTCCTGTCTTTATGGGGGGACAGAATTAAATTAAAGTCACCACCAATGATCATATGTAGTGTAGAAAGGGAATTTAATCTGGCAAGTGTTTGGGAAAGGAACTGCAATTGACCCACGTTTGGGGCATACAAATTCAACAAAATAAGAGAGCCTCCAAACATACATTCTAGAAGAATAAAACGACCCCGTGGGTCGACTCTAGAGGAGACGACCCGAAGGGAGCAGTGTGTTCATATCAAAATCACTACTCCGGGCCTTCCCAGTGGGATCAAAAAACGAGTAGGATTGGGAGGAAAACCATGAGGCAAAACAAAAAGCCATTCAATTTAAAATTGGTCTCCTGAACAAAAACAACATCTGCTCCTGGAAGATCAAAATTCCTTCAAAAGCCATCCACCGTTTTTGGATGGAGTTAAGACCTTTGACATTATATGATAGTAACCGTAAAGTCATCATTAGGTAATACAAAAAACAAAATTGTACCAGTATAAAGAGTGAATAAAGCATCATCAATGAAAAAAAAAACTGAAGTCAAAAACAGAAAAAACTGTAAGATCAGCAAAAAACAAAAGATATCAGTAATGATGTAAACTCGGGACATGGAAAAACAGACTCAAGTAGTCTAGGCCTAATGCTTGACGGGTTCGGGGACAACATGACAACTGACACATCTCACCAATTGTCCGTCCCGGCAAAGAAAAACAAAATGAAAAGTACACAACCAGTGCATAGCAAAATTGACATTAGCGGTGCAATAATTGGGGAAGAAGGTGACTCCGAAAAACGCCCAACAGACCATCCAGGAGGATCATCAGACAGGTACATCACCTGCTCTAGGAGGTTGTGGGCGTAGAGGAGTACGAGAAAAGTTTTCGCCCAGTACGGGCCGGTGTCCAGATCTTGGTTAGAGTGGCGGAAGGGCGCGATGGGATAGGCAGCAGCAAAGATGGATCATCAGGAAGAAGGGGGGGTTGGGGGGAGTCCCAGGTGGTGAAGTAAGGAGTCAGCCTCAGGAAGATCATGTAGGGTAACTTGAGTGTTGTTGGAGAAGACCAACGTGAAGGGAAACCCCCACAGATAGGAAATGTGGTGTTCTTGGAGATGGGTGGTGACCAGTTTTAGAGCCAGTCGTTTGGCCAGGGTAAATCGGAGAGAGGTCACTGAAGAGTTGGAGTTTGTCCCCTTTGAATTCCAAGGGTGATTTGTTGCGTGCAGAGGAGAGCAGAGCCTCTTTGCTTTCAAAAAAATTAAAACTGACGACGTCACGGGGTCTGGTGCCCTCAGAACGGTGAGCTCTATCCAGCCGCCAATCTTATTCTGGGACCATGGGGGTAGTTGCGGTGAAAAAAAAAAAAAAAAAAAAAAAAAAGGGGGGGGGGGTCAGCAAATTGTGAAGTTGGAGTCAGAATATTCATATCCGCGGTATGTCTGAAGCAATTTCTGGCGGCGTTCCCAGTTTTCCAGGTCTTCTTGTTGAAACTGCATTTGGGACATGGAATGCTTCAAGTAAGCATGGTCTTCTTCCAAAACATGTACGTATTGTACCAATTAGTCAACCTTGGTCTCCAGGTGGTCAGTGCGGTCCCCAATCTGGGTGATCTCCCCCCTAAGATCCAGGGCCAACTTCCCAACTTCAGCAGATATAGTAGCAGTAATACTTGCAATTTGTCATCAAAGATGAGACGGTTAGGGTGGATTGATCCAGCTGCAAGGATGGGACTGTGGCTGAAGCTGTGAGGTGCACCGAATAAGGGTGGTCTGCTGCCCCCCCTACCACCTGCAGGTGCCTGGGATCCTCCATCTGGCTATTATTTTGAGGTGGGATTGTGAGGGGCCCTGTGGAGGGCTGATCAATCCCTCCCCTGGCCGCCGGGTCCCGGAACTCCCTTTGTGGGCTGGAAGCGGTACTAGAGGCCGGGGATGCAGGCCTAGATAGGAAGCGTTGCAGTGGGGAAGGCCAGGGATGCAGGCCTAGATAGGAAGCGTTGCAGTGGGGAAGGCCGGGGATGCAGGCCTAGATAGGAAGCGTTGCAGTGGGGAAGGCCGCGGGTCCATCAGCGGCGGGGAGGGGTGGCTTCCAGCACCCGATCTTCCCCATACTATGTCTCCGGGTGTGCGCTGGGCTTATGTGGTCTGCCCAGAGCAGCTGTCGGCTTATGGAGCGGAGCAGGAGAGTCAAAGATGCCGGGGATGAGCGGGGCTCTGCTAATGAGCGTCCGCCATCAAGCACTGTCACGCATGCACCCCCACATGCAAACTTTTGAGCACGAGAGAGAGAGAGAGACAGAGAGAGACAGAGAGAGAGACATACAGATATACACAGATTTGCAAGTGCAGTTGCTCTAGATCTGAGGGGAAGCTCTGCGGATTTCTATAATCCAGTCGTGCAAGCAAAACTGCTGGGTTTTTTTTGGTCTTAATTTTCCTTGCATGTGATTGAATATTCTTTGCAAAGTGAGGTGTCACCTCATTTACTAAACTCTGTAGCAAGTGAACTTGCAGTGCGCAGTATATTTGCCTCTAGTAATTCAACCCCAAGTGTAACCCCATTAGTGATTGCCAAATCTGTTACAGGGTAGATTTACCATTCCATAAACATGGTCCTAACCAGGTTCACATTTTGCAAATTACGAACTAAACGAATTACGAAAACAAATCATTCTAACATAATCAATGTAACTAAACAAAATTTTTTAACTTAAATCCATCCAAAAGTAAAACAAAAAACTTTATTCTGCATGTTTAGCTGTAGGTCAAGTACAGCTGAGTAGTTGCACTTGTGCATACTGAACACAAGAGGTCAGCCGTTCGGCATGCGTGCTATTCAGAGAATGCTTTTCTGATGAGGCAGAGAGGCGACATCTCACTCTTGCCGAGCCACAGCTCCCATCTGCTCCAACAGCTAAAGTCAAGGTGTCAGAATATTTAAATTTTTCTCTTTCGTTCAGATACTTTTATAGCGCCGCCAATTTGCGCAGCGCTTTACATTCACATCAGTCCCTAACCCTCAAGGGGCATACAATCTAAAGTCCCCCAACTCTCCTAGATTGTAAGCTCCAAGGAGCAAAGCCCTCAAATCCCTCTTGTATTGAACTGTACTGTTACTGTATTGTCTCCAGTTATATTGCAAAGCGCTGAGCAAACGGTTGGCGCTATATAAATCCTGTATTATAATAACGTACATTCATACATACACATACTAGGGCCAATTTAGACAGGATACAATTAAACCACCAGCATGTCTTTGGAGTGTGGAAGGAAACCAGAGGGCCATAGATAATTTGTTTTTAACAATTGTTTTTTGTGTCCTAGCAATGACCTTTGCACATTCAATGCAGTAAAACGCAAGTGGTCATCAAGGAGATAATTAGACATGTAATCTCTCCAACTGTGAAATATACAGCAAAAAGCATACTTAATACTAAAAATACTATTTGTTATGTTAGGAAAGTACAAGAACCTCCTGTTGGGTAATAAGGCAGTATTTTGACTTTAGGCCCATAAAATATGCTTGAAATGAAAGCACTCTGATCCCATGCAACAGTTGCAGTTCTCTCAATTTTGTTTTTATTCCAGATCTATGGATTCTGTGCAGTAGGATTGCTCTTATCCTTTGTGTGGGATGTAATTTTTACTGCAGTATTTGTTCTCATCTTGCAAGTATGACTGCTGTACAGTAGCACGTCTCTAGTCCTGTATGCTGGGTGTAATACTCAGGATATGTTATTCTGTAGGTATGAGTGCTACACCAGTATTATTGTTGCCTAATTCCCATTAGGTTTTCCCAATTTTTTTTTTTTTTTATTCTTTGAGAAAAAAACAAAAAAAAAAAAAAAAAAAAACACACCACAACAACACACACACACACACACCAGAAAGAATTTGCCAAAACATTGTACCACAATAGTTCCAAAAGCAGTGGTGTACTGTCAGGGGTCACAACTGCAACCTGGCCCCTGCCCCAGTTGGCCTGTACAGCCTCCCTGGTCACATTAGGTTTTTAAATGGGGGGGGCGCAATTAGAGGAACCAATCCCCTGAATGCAGCATCTGAAAGCCAGCCTCTCCCTCCATGCTTTCAGCTGCTGCATACAGGGGGGGGGGGGGAAAATCGGTTCCTTCAATTGCCTCCCACCACAACGATCCCACTCTGTGCCTGCTGCCCATACTCTCCCCACGTCGTCCCCCCCCCCCCCCCCCCCGCCAGCTCTTCCTGCTTCCCCCCTCCCCTCAGCTGCATGGAGATCCTTTCAGGATGGAAACTAAATATATAATTTACCAGCGCCTTCCTTTTCTTAAGGAGAACAATGAGTGATTGGTACCGCTCGCTCACTGTGTTCATTCATAAGCAAGCATAGAAACAAAAAAAAAGTTTATTATGCTTTAGTCAAGAACAGGAAGACTGAAGAACTCTTCTTGTTCATTCTTTCTGTGCGGCTGAGGCTTTGAGAAAAGGGAGTAAGGAAACACATTCCTCAGTTTCTTTCTAAAGTGAGAGACTTCAGGTGTCTATTTAACAGCTCTTTGGATCTCATCTTGAGAATTGACAGCAACAGATTCCAAATGCAAATAGCACACTTGAAATGAACTGGACCTTTTATCTGCTCATTGTAATTGGGATAATGAGGGAATAAACACACACTGGGCCATGGAACAGCTGAGAAGCCGATTGTCCGATTACTTTTGGTCTCAACAAGTGGGAGGCACATATGCAAACGTTGTAATTCCTACACCGTTCACCTGATTTGGATGTAAAATACCCTCAAATTAAAGCTGACAGTCTGCAGTTAAAGCACATCTTGTTTGCTTCATTTCAAATCCATTGTGGTGGTGTATAGAGCCAAAAATGTTAGAATTGTGTTGATGTCCCAATATTTATGGACCTGACTGTATGCTGCAGGGTTCCCTTCAAGAGACACTCAGATCAAAAACCATTTTTTGTCTACAGGCATTTATTTTTTGTTTGCCATTTTCATGGCTGACTTTATAAATAATTTTTAAATCTATGTGTATAATAGGAAAGCTACTGTTGTATGTCAGTCACTGGAAACGTCATTTTATACCACCACACCCTCAAGTGTCTTGTGAATTGTCAGATACATTATTGTCTTTCCCTCAAAGTAAGGAAACGGTCACACAGAGTTTCCTTACCCTTTTGCCTCCAGCCTAAGTGTAGCCTGATAGGCTTCTGTGTGTTTGGTAGATGAACTGCGTAGGTTTGGACGTTGGATCCAGGGGCCCATGTAGGGATGTAATCAATGCTGCAGGAGAGATCTAGACAGATATAACAAATATGGCGGTGTGAGGCAAGAGCTAGACCTGCTTAGGGAGATGGGGGCAAAAAGGATAAGGAAACTTTCATTACTGTTTAAAAAGGTGTCCTTGCTAATCATTTCAGATGCAAATTAAAAAAAAAATGTAATACAGAGATTTAAGGAGGAATACTTCTTAGTAATATGTAACATTGGTAATGCCTACACCTTATGAAATTAGAGCATAAACTGTAAATTAATAAAAAGAAGTTCAGTGTTTTAACAGTAATGACAACATTAGCCTAACCTAGAGTGCTTACCTTTAGATGATTAAGGGATCCACTTAACTGAGCATCGTCTCTAGATATCATGTAGCGATAGTGATTCTGATAGTAATTTGATAGCTCATAGTACATAAACACTGGACCCTGGAAAAATAAAAAATAAAATTAAAAAAAAAAAAAAAAAAAGGAGAGGATAAGATGCTCGATTCCTATATATTTCAAACCTGCTTAACTGTTCAAAACTTATACATGTAAAATTAATAGGAACTCATATCACAACTTATGATAAAATGTCAATTACCCTTTTTAATTCATACAACTGTTAAAAAAATACAAGACACACAAAATCATACATAGACTTTACAATGTCACTTTATTCATGAATAGATTGCTAGATTTGATGTGTTTCCATTCATCCAACACTTTTCAGAGATACAAAACTCCTTCAGGGGCATTGAGCATTCCACATCTCTAGAAATTAATTGTAGAAATATAACTAACAATTCATCTACTTGGTTGTATAGTATGTCACAGCATCTGTATATACAAAATTACTTACAAAAGATAAACTATAGTGTAACAGGAATCCATAACACATAACAAAAGATGGATGTCACTGTTCAACTAAGATATGCTACATACATTGTTAAATGTGTCCATGACAGACCAATGTCACTATGCAGAAATGGCCATAACTGTAATTAAGTGTTCTTGCAAGAACACTTGTTATCTCACAAATATATTCTTATTATAGCTAAATTTACCACGCTAACTCCTTCCACAGTTTTTACAGTACAAAGACAAGTAATATATCAAAACGTGCGGATTGTTCCCGGTTGGATTGCTATTACTTTGTGGAACGTTTCGCCAAATGGTTCACGAAATATCACCATTTTTTGTGGTGAAATTTTCCCATAGGAATGAATGGTGCAACTAGGAGTGGGAGCTGACAAAAGCTAGAGTGTGAAAAGAAAAATCAGGACATGATTTCTAAACTGCCATCACTCCCTCATTTTCAAGCCCACCTACACATATCTTATATCAAAACGTTCAGCTAACCCTGCTGCCACTAAAAATGTTCACGGCTAAGCCATAGTCCTGGTAGTTTTCACAATATGACCATTTTGTTTGCAACTCACGCCGCGGCCATTGATATTCATTGAATCTCCACTCTAGACACCTGAAATTTGAAGGGCAATTTTTAAACTGCGACTGTGCCTTCATTTTTAATACTTCAGAGACATACTATGCATCAAAATGTAGGTCTGGGTCTTGTGAGTCTCAGTCTTTGCTGTAGGATTTAGACTTTTAAAACTACAACCATTTGAAGATGGCAACCGCCAGTGAAGTTAGCAAGTTGGAGCAGCGTGTTTATAAAAGTTCCTCTGAGCTTGCTGTACAGTGAGTTGCCATAGCAACCGAAGGGGGGTCAGCAGGCAGCAGAGTGACCAAAGCTAGAGTGTTAGCTGCAAAATAAAAGTTGAAATGCATTTCTCACTCTATCAAGCTTGCCATGTGCACTTTTTACATTTGATCAATTGGTTAGTGTTGGAGGCAAGAACACTTCACACAATTTCCCCAGAAATTGTAGCTTTTCTAGTTAATTTAACTATACTTCCTAACATTTTTCCTGCCATTGACTAATGAGTTTTTACAATGTCTTCCATGAAACAAGCATTCAACAAAATATGCAAAAAAAAAAAAAAAAAAAAAAAAAAAAACTACTTATGATGAACAGATGTGATTTAATCCAACAAGATGGCGGCCATAAAATTAGCTATGGCTGTTATTTCAGGTGAATATGTCAGGTTTATGGCTCCTCGAGGCTTCCAGAAGGTTGGTTTTTAAAAGGAACAAATCAGTAAGGCAACTTTATTATCATATCTGTTCTTCCCTAAGTGGCCCTGGCAGTATCAGCCTGTACGGTTCTTCAGCCACATAAACCTAATACTAGGTTGTCAGGGTTGATCCTGCATTTTTTTTTTTTATTAAATCCTCTACAGCCCTCACTAGATTTCCAGCAAAGGGTAGTTGGATCTTGTTAAACAACCAAACGAAAAAGAGCCACCTAATATGACACCTATAAATATGTCATATTAATATCTCTGTCTCACTCATAATTAGTGTGGATTTATAAACCCAATATGTACCTAACAAAAAATAGCATGACAGATGCAAAACTGCTTAAACAAAAGTACTTTTGTTTAAGATATTCTAGATATGTGCCTGCTGTACCAAAAATACTTATATGAAAAAAGGTATCGGTTGTCTTTGTATGGTTTCCCTTTTGTGAAACCCCTGGTGTTCCTGTCAGTCCTCCTGTTTCCTATTAAAAACTAACAACACTAGGCAGGAGAATACACCATGGGCAAATCTCTGGCTGGGTTGCTCTGCTGCAGTGTTCAGAGTTGTCCTCCCGACACGCCCCCCACATCCTTTCACTGGTAAGTTCAGTGCTCCGCTGTTTCTCCTCCCCTAGCTCTTATGCAGCTGAGAACAGAGGGAATGTTAAAAAAAAACACAATACACACTAAAATTAGCATGTGCAGAATGGCTATGGTTCAGTCTGTCTTATCAGGAGATAAAACGTGGACTTTTGAACAAGAGGAGGAGCAGAGAAAGTCAGGATCAAATGGCCTTTTTACACAATGCAGAGGATTAACCCCTTAGGTTCCACAGTGAGTATAACAAGCATGCTTTACTACTTATACAGACGGATTTTACTTTTGTGGGTTTAGTAACACATTAAGCCTGAAACATGGAAGCTGCTAATGCTGCCTTTTCATTCTGAAAATGTTAGTTGCCTTGCTGTCATGCTGACCCTCCTGTTTTTTTATACTCAAGAGTCGCTAGTCCAGAACAAAATATGCAGATAAGAACTACTGACTTTGCTTCAACTTTTCCAATACATACTTTTTCCAGTTCACTTACTGAAACACAAAAAGTTCAGTTACTCAGAACGTAATGAAGGCACAAGTTCACTAAAACAGTCTGGCAATTAGCAATCATAGTAGATCAATAATGACTGACTCCATATTTCTTTTAGATTTACATTAGAATTTAGGTACATTTTTCTGCATCTATCATACATGGTCTATGCTACCCTGAACTCAGATGGCTGTAAAGCACATATATCAGTTGACAGACCAATAGTTAGAAAAAGGACATAAATCGCTACCACATAGAAAGACAGGGTCTTGGACTTACCGAAAAAAATGATGTCAAGTTAAAAGTGATACTGCAGTTGCAAGATTTTGAGCTATTAGTAGCACATAAGTAACAGGAATCATTCATGCTTGTACCAGTGCTTCTTGTATCAGTATAGTCATACTAGGAAGAAAAAAAAAAACAAAAACCACATACAACAATTTAGTAGAGTTAGATCATTTAAGGAGTAAAAAAAAAAAAAAAGAATTCCTCAGTTTACTTTGCTATACATGCATGTACGCATTTTACTGTATATGCAAGTGTTTATTAAAGGTTTTCTTTCATTGTCAGCTGTATTGCCATTCACTAAACTTTAGAAATGTGTTACAAAGTTCATCCTATAATACAATCATAATGCTGATGGGCAAAAATACAAACAGCGAAGTGGGGAGACTGCATTGAGCACCTGAGGATCCATAGGATTAAGGGTTATGAAGTTCTTTAGCAAACATTCACAGCCTAAGATGATGATTTTATATAAAATTGAATTATATGTGCAATCAGTGTGGTATCCACTGAACTAGTAAAGAGGCTAGATTTATACTCCCCTAAAAAGGTATGTATGGTCACACTCACCTGTTCCATGGTCCATCTCTGGTTCACATACACTTGACTTGGTCACTAAGATTTAGGGGTGGGGTTCCCTGCCTCTAATACTTTTATTCCCCAGTCTGTTCGTGGGAGGACACCCATTTATTTTGAAGCAGGATATGCAGGCAATTGTGAAATTCCTTGCTCTTTGTACTAAATTTTTTTTTTGTTTACTGAAGTAGTGGCTAATAAGGAAATATACAAGTCACAGAGGCAGGAAATCAAACCCCCAAATCCCTTGTGTGCTCATACATTTACAGTATAGAAGCCCATAGGCAAGAGGCAGAGAACCCACACCCTGAATGCATTGGTTCACCTAGTGGAACCTTTTGCAGATTAACAGCATTTTCCCCTGTGACATACTGTAGTTACTGCCATCTGTAACACCCAATAGGCAGATCTCCACCTAGTCCTGCCCTACGACGATAGCCAGGGCTTTGCTGGTAGCTCAGTTTCCTGGTTACCCTCTCTCTAGAATACATTTTCCCCATAATCCTATTCCCTAAAAAATTACTATTTCTCAGAAGAATCCACTGGGCAGCTGGTGACACCAACATCATGGTAACGAATATTTTGTTAACCACTTGCCCTCCTGGCGATTTACCCCCCTTCCTGACCAGGCCATTTTTTGTGTTACGGCACTGTGTTACTTTGACAATTGCGCAGTCATGCAGCGCTGCACCCAAATGAAATTTACCTCCTTTCCCCACCCCCCACGAATTGAGCTTTCAGTGGTATTTGATCGCCTGGGTTTTTTTTTTTTAATCACTTCCTGACCGGCTGTTGTATATAAATGTCCGGACGGTGGCACTGCAGGGTCGGGTGGCAGGTGGCTGGGAGTGCGCAGCACCGCGATCCGGTGCCTGCTGTGTCCTCTGGACACAGTGAAACACCGATCGTTGGACGGGACCTCTGTACGAGATCCCGATCATGTGATCACTGATTGGCCAATCAGTGATCACATGCAAAGTAGTAAGCAAGATGTCATTTCTGACTCTGTGAACAACAGCCTTATACCATGTGACAAGCTGTGACCAATCACAGCTCACTCAGTACTCAATGGCTGCAAGAATGCAGACAGAGAGAGAAATTATTGCTTTTACATCCTATATGGGTGTAAAAGCAATCAGTGTTAAAAAAAAAAAAAAAAAAAAAAAATCACCCCCCAAAAGTAGTACAGTGTCACCATGGTGACGCTGTACTGCTAGGGTGACTGTATGTAGAAAAATACAATATAAAAAAAAAAAAATTAAAAAATTATAATTTTTGGTTATAAACTAATTTGGCTTATTTTTTTTTTTTTTACTAAAAAGATAAAAACGGAATAAATTTTGGCCAAGATTTATGATGAAATATTATTTATTCGCAAAATTTTATAAGAAAAATTTTTTGGACATGTTCATTTACATAGCAAAAAAAAATTAAAATCCCAGCGGTGAAATAAATACCACCAAAATAAAGTTTTATCGGTCTCCAAAAAAATGGTGAAAAATTCATATGGGTACAGTGTTGCATGACCGCGCAATTGTCAAAGTGTGATAGCGCTGAAAGCTGAAAATTGCCCTGGTCAGGAAGGGGGTAAAAATGTCCGGACTGGAAGTGGTTAATAGCACAAAAGATTTTTTTGACCTTTTGCTATTAAAGCATGTCCAGTAAAAATTAAATTAAAGGACTGACACTGTACTAATGGCACTGGGCAGGAATGGGTTAATGTGAAGAGTGATCTAAGGGTTAACTGCGCTGAGAGGGTTTTACTAGGGGGCGGTGTGTTGGTGCTTCACTGTAAGGACCAGAGCCAACAGAGAGGAGGATCGTTAGGAAACAAAACAGCCCTCCTCCCCGTCCAGAGATCCTCATTAATCATTGGGCACGGCGGGTAATCACCAGCTGGGACCCGGTGATTGACAGCCGCGGCTGCGAATGGCGGCGCAGGTAGGGGGCATGATTTTGTGCACCTCTGCTGCCCTGTAGCAGTATATCTGCTATAGGGTGGCGCAGATGAGGTTAACCTTTGACACCATGCAATGCACGTTAAACATTTCACAAACTTTACATTAAAAACACAGGGATTTCTGGTCTGCACCTATAGAGGTTTATTGACTAAAGCTGGAGAGTTTAAAATCAGGTTCACTTCTGCATAGGAACCAATCAGCTACCAGGTTGTATTGCCAAAGCTTAATTGAACAAGCTGAGGTTAGAAGATGATTTGCTTCCATGCTCAGCTGCACCAGATTCCGAGTGAACCAGCTTTAGTAAAAATTCCCCCCCCCCCCCCCCCCCCCCCCCATAGTGCCAGCGGCTCAGACTGATAAAGGTGGATGACAGTCACAAAACCAGGTCTGTCCACTAACTTGAAACATAAGAATCAAGTAGAATTCTGTGCTTTAGGACCCATCCACACTAAGAACTGCATAGGAATGTTGTGCGGTTCCTGTGCGATTCACAAGCAGTGAGATTTCAGCAAAATCGTACCGCACCAAAAAGTAGCACATGCACGACTTGTTGAAATGCATGGCAACCAGATCGTATGATACTTTTGTACCATTTGATCTGCTGTGGGCAAACTGCATTTGGGGTGTCACTTGCACTGACATCCACAGCAGATCGCAAGGGCAATGCGATTGGAATGCAGTGTGGGAAGAACAACGGGAACATGGCTTTCCTGCTCTGCACTCTAGTATGAATGGTCCCTAAAACATATACTAGTGCCGCAGGCGCAATGTGACATGCAGCAGCTACTATTCTCAGTTAACAGCTTTACACTGTTTTATACACTTGTAGCAAACTCCGCACAAACGCATTGATCTTGGTTCCCCTATATTAAAAATATATGCTCAAGCCAGCTCAAAGTGATCCCTCCCAGACCCATTCAGAACCAGCTTTAAAGTATACTACAGGGACTGGCTCCTGGATAGAAGCAAAGATTTTAATGTTTTACAAACATTATGGCCATGCTGTTGAATTCTCCATAGGAGCATAGGGAGTGAAAGTGGATCTGACCATCTGGCTCATGGGAAAGGATAAAAGACCAAGGAGCCATAAAACCCTCCATTTTACTCAAAGCAAATCTTTTTTGTAAAGGTAAATAGGATACCAAAAAGAAATAAACTGAAAGTACACAAACACAGACTGGATTTAAGCAGAGACTTCTATTGTTTTACTAACGTGGCCAAGCAGCCAGATTCTCCGTACGAACATAGGAAGTAAAAAGGTGGATTTTATGGTCTGGGTCACGAACAGTGATGAAGACCTGGGAGCCGTGATAACCCATCATTTTTCATAACTCAAAACTTTTGTAAACTTGAAGTAAATGAGTCACAAAAGTAAAAAGACAACCACACAACCCAGTAAGAGCACCAGCACATACTGTCTATATTCACTGTTTTCTTACCTCATACTCGGTGATGTTGTTGGATGAATAATATAATCCAATGCCAATCCCTATAAAAGATAGCCCTACAAAGAAGAACAGTGGCAAGATAATACTAGCAGACAAGAGTGGCTGCCAGGCAGGAAGCCTCTGTTGGGTGAAAGCAGTGTTGTCAGGTCTCTGAGATGGGAGAGGTTCATGTCGGCTAGTAAAGTCCCTGGCAGCAGGTGCCATTTTCTCCCTGTGGAAATCTTGAAGGGAAAAAAAAAAAAGTATTTGTTTATTGACACTGGTATTTGTATGCAAAGATGTCCAATACAGCTGTCCTCTATAATTTTAGGAAACTTGTTAAAAGTTACTCTAGAAATATATAGAGTTTTGTGACATAAAAAAAAAAAAAAACAGAAGGTCCCATTTACACTTGAGCACTTTGGATCTTCGAGCTATAAAATGCTCAAACATCCAAAATCTCATGTATTACAATGGTAAAACTACTCACATATACACCTCAATTGCTGACACTCCAAAAGCTACATGAGCTACTTTTGAGGCCAATATTGGGCATTCCTGGTTCAACAGACTTCAAGAGGAATGCCTATAAAAACACTCAAACTGAGCAGTTTCAGGTCTGTAAGAACTGGTCTCCGAATCCTAGCGTTTTCCATTGGCTAGAAACAATAAAAATGCCCAAAGTGTAAATACACATGTAAACTGCTGTTCTAAAAATGCACACTTGTAAAAGCATTCAAATAAAAAACACCTGGAAAAAAAAAAAAAAAAAAAAAAAAAAATCAAAAAAAAAAAAAAATCACTCTAGTCAGGGGTGAAGGCTTGGTTTACGCCAAAAATTAAATGAGTGATTTCAGTGTGCTGACATGTTGTATGATAAAGCTAACATTTTGTTGATATGAATGGCAAAAAGCAAGTCAACACACTAAAGCTACAGTATACATTTTTTCACAATTTAGAAAAACAAACACACACTATTTTACTCCTATAATAAAAATTGCTGTTCAATAAATCTTTTTTTTTTTTTTTTTTTGTACAATTATAGCTAGCCTGCACCATTACAATGTAAATCTTCAAAAATTAATGAGGCACTCTAGTTTAAAAAAAAAAAGCATAGGATAGATATATATGCCCTGACCTGGCCACTACTGCGTATAACAACCCGCTGTCAGCTGCCTTAGACTCCTTAGCACCCCTAACCACACGTAGCATTAGACCCCAACCGCTTCAACCCTGGCAGAACAACCACACTAAAAAATCTTAAACGACGCAGTCGCGTGCTGGAGCGATTATGGCGCAAAACCAGATACCCTCAAGCGTTCTCCCTCTACAAATCCGCCTTCCTCACCTACACCTCCTCCCTCCACGCCACCAAACAAGCCTACTTCATAACCCTCATCAACACCCTCTCCACCTGCCCTCACCGGCTCTTCTCCACTTTCAACTCCCTACTCCCCCCCCCCCCCCCCACAGTACCCCACATTCACTGCCCACGAGATTGCCTATCACTTCCAAAATAAGATCGACGCAATCCGTAAGGACATTACCAATGCTCAATCTACCTCCCCACCTAGCCTCCCACTATAACCCCATCAACTCTCCCCTCCCCTGACCTCGCAACTGCCCTGCCGGCCACCACACCTAACACCCCGCACACTACAACCTCCCCAACCCTCCGCTCCTTCAGCCTTGCTACCACTAAGGTCTTCTCAGAAGCCCGCCTCACCACTTGACCCTGTCCCCACACAGCTCCTCCGGTCACCCTCCTCCATCCTACGCTCCCTCACCCACATCTTCAATCTCTCCCTTTCTACTGGCGCATTCCCCTCCCCCCTAAAGCATGCGCACATCACCCCCATACTCAAAAAACCCTCCCTGAACCCCACCGACCTGAACAACCTTAGACCCATCTCCCTGCTACAATTTACATCCAAGCTCCTTGAGCACTTAGTCTACAATCGCCTAAGCTCCCACCTCACTGACAACAACCTCCTCGATCCACTACAGTCTGGCTTCCGTCCTCTACACTCCACCGAAACCGCCCTACTCAAAATCACTAATGACCTGCTAACTGCCAAAGCTAATGGCCACTACTCAGTCCTCCAACTCCTCGACCTTCGACACAGTTGACCACCCCCCTCCTCCTTAATAAACTACACTCCCTTGGCATCAGAGACTCCGCTCTCTCCTGGCTCTCCTCCTATCTATCCCAACGCTCCTTCAGCGTTGCCTATAACGCTACCACCTCCCCTTCTCTCCCTCTCTCTGTTGGGGTCCCCTAAGGCTCTGTCCTCGGGCCACTTTTCTTCTCCATCTACACCTCCTCCCTCAGCAAACTGATACACTCCCACGGCTTCAACTATCACCTCTATGCTAATGGCACGCAAATTTACCTCTCCACCCCTCCAGTCTCCGCCCGTATCGCCCACCTACTGAACGACCTATCAGACTGGATGTCACTCCATTTCCTCAAATTTAACCTTTCCAAAACCGAGCTCCTAATTTTCCCCCTAGCCCGCGCCCCCCCATCCTCTCCATCACGACCAACAACGCCACCATCAGTCCCACCCCCCGCAAGCCAAAGTCCTAGGTGTCACTCTAGACTCAAACCTGTCCTTCCAACCCCATGTCCAATCGCTGGCAAACTCATGCAGACTCCACCGCTGCAGCATCTCCAAAATACGTACGTTTCTAACCCCAGACACTACTAAACAACTCGTTCACTTCCTCATTATCTCATGTCTGGACTACTGCAACTCCCTTCTCACCGGCCTACCCAAACTAGGCTATCCCCGCTTTAGTCTATCCTGAACTCAGTGGCCAGACTCATCCACTTTACTAACCGCTCCGCTTCTGCCACCAGGATTTGAAGTCTGCTTTCTTTTGCTGGCCCTACAGGGTGGTCTTGGTGTGTGTTTTTTTGCACCAACCCCAGGGCTCCTGGGACAGACGATGGTCCTAGTCTATCCAGCAATTGCCTTTTAATCTTTATCTTTTTACAATATGGTTGTAAGCATGGCTTACCCTTTGGAAATACCTACAAACTTACAACATTTGGGGAAAGTACATAATATGATATGTGTATATATTTTTCGATTTCCAATGACGAGTTTTTTTGTAGACATCACTTCCTCAGGAGAAAATGTGACGGAAGGTAACTAGGATTCACAAAACACATTGGGATATTCAGAATATAACAGTTATTTACACTCTGATTGCTTATTACAATAATGAACACTGTATAGGAAATCAGTAACACTGTTGAAAAGGTTTCATTAAACCTTTGTTTACTACTGTGATGCTGGGCTTGGTTACAGCAACCACATGGTACAGGGCCACTGGGATTGACCGAGGTCACAATGATCACATGGTGCCAATAAAAGAGATTGAGTAGTAGTAAACAAGGCATCATGAATGAAAGCTTTTTATGTACTAGTAAGCAAGGCATCATGAATGACCGCCTTGTTTACTACTGTATCTCATTGCTGTAATCAGTCACAGTGATCTAAAGGTACCAGGGATGCTCACAGCAGCCCTGTACCGTGATCGTTAATCCACTGTGTCTGCTGAACACAATGATCACAGATAACATGGCTGCACGCACCAGGGGGAGGGGGCACACAGCACATGCTTTTGGAAGGCCATAGGGGTGCAGCCATTTATGTACATTGGCTGGTCGGAAAATGGTTAAAGCTCATCTCCAGGAAGAGATGTCCCCTTGCAGTGGGACTGCCCCAAAACTGCAAGGGTAAATGCCAATTTAGGTCTAGGTAGCCACAAAAAGCACTTTTACTTACCTCCTCACCCCCAGAAGCTGGTACTCTCCTCCCCTACTCTCCGGTAGTCGTCGGTCCCTAGGCATCCTCATGTGTAATGCAGGGCTCAGTGCTTTGATTTGGACTTTACACCATCAGAATATCTGAGACTCCCCCGATTTCTTAGTTTGGCTAGCAACCAACTCTTGGAAGAGTCCTGGTTGTGCCAAACCACTTCCATTTGAGAATTATGGAGGCCACTGTGCTCTTGAAAACCTTCAGTGCAGCAGAATTTGTTTTGTGGCCTTCCCCAAATCTGTGCCTTACGACAATCTTGTCTCTGAGCTCAGAAGGTAGTTCCTTTGACCTCATGGCTGTTGCACTGATATAGTATGCATTGTCAGCTGTGAGGTCTTTTGTAGAGAGGTCTGTGCCTTCCCAAATCATGTCCAATGCATATATTTTACCACAGGGGACTCCAATCAAGGTGTAGAAACCTCTTAGCAATGATCAAAAGAAATGGGAGGCACGCAACCTATATTTCAAGTGCAAAGGGTCTGAATACTTATGCCAATGTAATATTTCAGTTTTTCCCTTTTTAATAAATTCATAGACATTTCTAAAATTCTGTTTTGACTTGGTCATCATTATGGGGTACGGAGTGTAGATTAATGAAAAGAAATGAATTTAGACAATTGTATCAGGCTGCAACATTACAAAATTGAAAAAAAAAGTGAAGGTGGTCTGAATACTTTACGATTGCACTGTATTCTATGCATGAACTTTACAAATCCGTCACTATTGTGCTGTTACTGTGCATAGTACATACCGCCTGTTAGTGTTAGGAGACATATCCACACAGATACTGTAAATGTGCCATCTACTACACAGGAGAATAAAAAAAATATATATAATTATTTTTTATTCTCCTGTATAGTAGATGGCACATTTACAGTATGTGTGTGGAATGTCTCCTAACACTACTACACAGGAGAATAAAAAATAAATATCTACATATACACACACACACTGTACAGGCTTGTCTAATCAAAGATGGCCAATGGAACACCTTACACCAAATATGAAATGTTGCCTTTTTGTGAAAGACCACTAGAATTGGGCTGTGAGCAAAATCAATCTGTGCCTTCTCTAGTTTTCCATTGGCAGACATCACAATGAGCCTACCCTCCTACAAGGAGACATTGCATATATAATTGCCAAATACAAGCTAAGGCTGGGACCAGGATTAGGACCATCAATAGTAATCATCCTATACTGTGGGAAATACTAATGTGCCAAAATGCTTTTAGATCTATTTATACATGTTGTATTCTTACATTGAATAAAAATTAGGACAGTTCTTGGCCTGTGTAATTTTTTAACTTTCGAGAGCAGTACAATATTCTAAAATCTCCATTTGTCATTTTAATATACACATTATTACCTCCAGGTTAAATGGCATGTCTGAAG